TCTTTTTATCTCTTGCACAACTCCTGCTACATACATCCCTTATTGCTGCTGTTATTGCATTTGTTGTATTTGCTGCATTTGCTGCTGCATTTGCTGCTGCTGCTGCTGCTGCTGTTGTTGTTGTGTATGTGCTGCAGCACGATGATTCAATTAATCCAACCCTTACCAACAGGAATAAAATTAGAATTAAAATCACATAAGGCAGTAAAAAATTATCCAATATTCTCCGATAATAATAATACAAACAGCAGCAGCAGCAGCAGCAGCAGCAGCAGCAGCAGTAGCAGCAGTAGCAGCAGTAGTAGTACATGCTGCTGTACATGTAATAACAACAGCAGTAATACTACTAGTAGTAGTAATACAAACAATGGTAATATAATAGATCCAAGTATATATCCTCCAAATACTTCTTCTTCTCCCTCTTCTCCCTCTTCTTCCTCTTCTTCCTCTTCCTCGTCATGTTGCACCTGCAACAACAACAACAGCAACAAGAACAACAACAACAAGAACAGTAATAGTAATAGTAATATAAAACAATCATGTATAAGAGGAGGAGGATGTATATCATTATCATGTACATTACCAGCCCCACGTGAGTATGCATTACGTGTATCCTTAACCCGTCACGAGACTAAGTACTGTTCCTTTCATGCACTAAATGGTATTCTACCAGCTTATAATGAAGCTGTTCGACTTCGAAATAGATTTGCAGGTCTTCCATTTCAACTTCCAATTATAACAAAAGAAGATTTAATATTTCGTAAAAAAATACTTGATGAAGGGAAACCATTACCATTATTTGGTCCTAAGGAGGCATTTATGACTGTACAGGAGAGAACTATTTATTATAAACAAGGTAGATTAGAAGCTGCTGCTGCAGCTGCTGCTGCTGCTAATGCTGCTAATGCTGCTAATGGTGGTAGTAGTAGTAGTGGTAGTGGTAGTAGTGGTGGGGGAGGAGGAGGAGGAGGAGGAGGAGGAGGAGATCAGAATTGTGGATCTAATAAAGGACAACATATATATAATGATCTTGATCATCATCATCATCATAATACTATTACTAGAGGAATTAATAATCATGGTGGTGGTGCTGCAGCAGCAGCAACAACAAATTCAGTAGCTAATACAACAGGAGGAGGAGGAGGAGGAGGAGGAACAGGAGGTGGAGGTAATACTAGTTCTTTATCTCCAACAAATATTGATACTGTTAGTGCTGCTGCTGCTGCTGGTGGTCGAGGAAGTAGGAAACGACAAAGGGATCTTCTATTTGCTGCTGCTGCTGCTGCTGCTGCTGCAGAAACAGCAACTTCACCTACTGCAGCAACAGAAACAGGAGGATCTAAAGCAAGAAAACCAGAGAGATTAATGTCGCCATCTGCTGCTGCTGCTGCTGCTGCTGCGGCACTAAGAAATCATCATCTTCACGTTCTTAAGGATGAAGTTGATTCTTCCCCATCATCAAGACTAAGTAGCAGCAGGAACAGCAGTAGTAGCAGCACCAGTTTGCTTGATGCTGTCTCGCCGGTCCGCAGCAGCCCCCACAAAGAAGGTGGGCTTATGCTCAACTTACAGCAGCAGCAACAGCAACAACAGAGACAGCAGCAGCGACAGAGACAGCAGCAGCAACAGCAGCAGCAACTGCAGCTGCTGCAGCAGCAGGTGGAAGAGGGAGGAGATATGATTGATGATCGTCGTAATGCTCTGTCTCCTTCAGAGACATTATCTAGTGGAGGGACAGGAGCAGCAGCAGCAGCAGCTGCTGCTGCTGCTGCAGCAGCACCATCATCATCATCATCTGCAGCAGCAACACAACAACCAACAGCAGCAGCAGCAGCAGCAGCAGCAGAAGATAGTGCAGCAGCAGAGACACTAGCTACAGAGATTGCTGCCTCTTTAGGTTTGCCTTTAGAGTTATTAGCTGCTCGTCTCTCGCATTTTATTAGTAGACCGGATAGCGGAGGGGGAGAGGATGCAGCAGCAGCAGCAGCAGCAGCAGCAGCAGCAGCGGCAGCAGCAAGAGGAGGAGGAGCAGGAGGAACAGCAGCAGCAGCAGGAGGAGGAGGAGGAAGAGGAGGAGGAAGAGGAGGAGGTGATTGTAGTGTTGGGAGAGCAGATAGATCTGCTGCAGCAACAGATAAAACACAACTTCCTCCTGCTGCTGCTGCTGCTGCTGCTGCTGCTGCTGCAAGAGGAAGTATATGAGGGTTTATATATAAACACTAATTTAGGGTTTTAATAAACCCTAAACACTAATTTAGGGTTTATTATTTCTTCCTTTTATCTTCTTTGTCTCTTCTTTGTCTCTCTTTGTTTGCTTGGCTGTCTTGTCGTCGCTGTCTGTTTCCTCCTCTTCCTGCTGCTGCTCTTACTACTGCTGCTGCTGCTGCTGCTCAGGTGAAATACGCGCAGCAGCAAAGATTGCAGCAGCAGTAGCAAGAGCAGCAGCAGCAGTAGCAGCGGCAGCAGCATATCGCAGCTGCTGCAACAGCAACAACAGCAGCAGCAGGCAGTCCTGCATCAGGGCTGCGAGGAAGAGTGTGGGGCCCCACAGTGCGTGCATGCATGGATGCATGAATGTATGCATACATGCAGCAATGCATGCAGGGGCGCAGACACAAGCGCTTATAGGCAGTGTCTTCGCGTAGGGAATCCCTGCTGCAGCAGCAACTGCAGCATCGGCAGCAAAGATTGCAGCAGCAGCAGAAGCAGCAGCAACTTCTGCAACAGCAACTGCTGCACCAACTGCTGCAGCGGCAGCGACAGGCAGCAGCAGCTGCTGCAGTATATATACACTGCAGCAGCAGCTGCTGCAACGAAGGGACAAGGGCTCAAGTGGGGCTTTCTATTGTCGGTCGATACTTGCACGCATGCATGCATGCATGCATGCATGCATGCGTGCAAGGAAGTGCATGCAAGCATGCATGCATGCATGCATACATATATGCATGCATGCATGCAAGAAAACAAAATTAATATTTTCTGTCATTATCTCCGTTAGCTATTTTCCTCTTCTTGTGCGCATTTAGTTATTTCTTATTAGCAGCAGCAGCAGCAGCAGCAGTAGCAGCAGCTGCTGCAGTAGTAGTAGTACTGGTAGTAGTTGTAGTCGTAGTGAGTACTAGTAGTACTAATAGCACAAATAGCAGCAGCTGTTGCAGTAGTACTAGTAGCAACAGCAGCAACAGTAGCAGGAGCAGCAGGAATGCCCGAGTGTCTTCTGCTGCATGCATGCAATTTACTAACATCCCTTAGTATATATTGTTACCCCTGTACGCATGCATGCATTGCTGCTGCTGCTGCAGCAGATGAAGGCAGCCGTAACGTTACACCTAGTAGTGTGTCGCATGCAGTGTTGCGGCGATTGCTGCTGCAGCAGCAGCAGCAGCAATAGACTATTGCTGCTCCCCCGTTAGTCTCCTCTGTAGCAGCTGCTACAGCAGCAGCAGCAGCATCAGCAGCGCATGCAGCAGCATTTAACCCTCAAGGGTTTAGGGTTTAGTATCTGCTCAGAGTTGTTAAGGGAATAAGAGGACATAAGACGGGCGTAAACCCTAAACCCTAAACCCTAGCTAAGAGGATATTCTATGCAAGAGATGGATAAACCCTAAACCCTAGCTGCTACTTCCTGTCTGCTGCTGCTACCCTAAACCCTAATCCGTCTCATATATAAGCCCCCTAACCCTAAACCCTAACCCTAACCCTAGACTGGCTGCCGTTACGCTAAACCCTAAGCCGTCTTCTGTACCACTAAACCCTAAACCCTAAACCCTAATAAGTGTGGTATAATCGTAAACCCTAAACCCTAAAGGCTGCAAGGAGGTCGAGTTGTCTTCAAAGAAGAACACTAGTTGGCAGCAGCAGCAGCTGCTGCAGCTGCAGCAGCAGCATCTTGTTTGCTGCTGCTGTTGGTAGTATAACAGCATCATTCTAAGCAGCAGCGGCAGCTGCTGCTGCTGCTGTTGTTGTTGCTGCTGCTGTTGCTGTTGCTGCTGCTGCTGCGAGGTTATTGTTAGACCCCTCACTTGTCTTTGCCTGCGAGTTTCGTCTTGCGGCCTCCACGCAGCAGACCAGTGCGGCGAGCAGCAATAAGACCAACCTTTTGCCCTGAATACAGCAGCATGAGCAGCAGCAGCAGCATGAGCAGCAGCAGCAGCATGAGCAGCAGCAGCAAGACGAGCAGCAAATGGTGACTATAAGGTATGATTGAGCTCATAATACATCATTTTGTATATAAAAAAGAGATAAAAAAGGGAAAAAAAGACAAATAAATAAATAAAATAATTAATTAATTAATTAATTAATTAATTAATTAATTAATTTATATTTACCTGGTGGTGCATGACGAGATACTGTTGATGGATGACCAATATGCTGATGATTACCACCACCATGAGGATGCTCAACAGGATTCATAGCAACACCACGAACCTTAGGCCAGCAGTTCCTCTTTGCCTATATAAATAAATAAATAAATAAATAAATTAATTAATTAATTAATTAATTAATAATAATTAATTAATTGTATTTATTGCCTTTTTTATAAGCTCTTAGCAGCAATAACAGCAGCAGCAGCAGCAGCAGCAGCAACAGCAGCAAATCCATCCTACTACCTTAAAAGAATCCTAAAAAACAGCAGCAGCGCATGCAGCAGCAGCAGCGCATGCAGCAGCAGGAGGAGGAGGAACAGGAGAATAAATACCTTATATTTATGATAAGCAGTTCCTGCCTTAAGTAATGGTTTATCTATTCTTCCTCCTCCTGCTACTAAGCCAATTATACATCGTGAATTAGATGACAATGTCTTCCTTGCTCCTGATGGTAAACGGACACGAGACTTCCCTGTCTCCTCGCTATGTCCTATAAATAAATAAATAAATAAATAAATAAAATAAATAAATTAATTAATTAATTAAGTTAATTAATTAATTATAATTAATTATATTTATTTTGTTTTTTTTTTGTTATATTGAAAAAAAAACAGTTTGAATGAACAAACAGCAGCAGCAGCAGCAGCAGAGATGCAGCAGCAGCAGCAACAACAGCAGCAAAGACAATATCCATCTGTGTATCATTAGCAACAGCAGCAAAGACAATAACAGCAGCAGCAACAGCAGCAGCAGCAACAACAGCAGCAAACTAACAGCAGCAACAAGAACTAAACAACTATGAACAATGAATAAGTAGCACCAACAGCAGCAGGAGCAGCAGCAGCAGGAGCAACCCCACACCACCACAACCCAACAGCAGCAGCAGCAGCAGGAGGAGGAATGAATTACCAACAACAGTAGCAAAAGATCCTGATGTTTTTGCTAATGCTCCTCTATCTCCTGGCTTTTCCTCAACAGAACAAACAACAGAACCCTCAGGTACCTTACCTAATGGTAATACATTACCAATAGATAAGGCAGCTGCATGCATGCATAAATAAATATATATAAATAAATATATATATTATTATTAATAATATACACTTATATATATATATATACCCTATATATTTATTATATTATTATTCACAAAAAAAATACACAAAAAATTATACATCAATAACCCTAAACCCTAAACCCTAAACCCTAAACCCTAAACCCTAATTATATTATATCTCTTCCTTATCCAACAACCGTATATAACCCCTCAAACAATAAAACACACCACCACCCTATCATACCATCAACCACCATAACCAACAACAACAACAACAACAACAGCAGCAGCAGCAGCAGCAGCAGCAACAGCAGCAACAGCAGAAAAAAGTAGTCTACCCTATATAACCAACAAAATATAAATATACAACCACAACCACAACCACCACAACAACCACCACAACAACCACCAGCAACAGCAGCAGCAAGAGCAACAACAGCAGCAAGAGCAGCAAGAGCAGCAAGAGGAACAAGAAGAGTTAATATGAATAATAACTAACCTTTTTTACCACAATGTATAAATTGTCCTGTATGTATTCCTTCAACAGCTAAGAAAGTTTCTTTATTTATTTTATATTTATAATTATCACGAAAAGAAATTATTGCTAATGGTGCACCACGACCAGGATCGTGTTCTATAGATGTAACTAATCCTATAAATAAATATATAATTAGCAGCAGCAGCAACAACAACAATTAATTATATTATTTATTTATTTATTTATTTATTATTATTATATAGGTATACAGCATTCATATTATATAACAATCATTTTATCATCTTTTATACTTATGTAGATACTGCAGCAGCAGCAAATGCAGCAGCAGCAGCAGCAAATACAGCAGCAGCAGCAAATACAGCAGCAGCAGCAAATTCAGCACAGCAACTTATGATATAGCATATCAATTGGACAACAATAACAGCAGCAGCAACAACAACAACAACAGCATCTGCAGCAGCAGCAGCAGCAGCAGCAGCAGGAGCAGGAGGAGCAGGAATAGTAGTATATATAGTACGTACCCTTAATATATCCATTCCTTTCTGCATAATCAAGAGAGCGAAGTTTTGCTGCTCCTTTCCTTTTATGGGTATGGGCCTTGAATACGGACCCACGACCCTTACGTTGTGCTGCAGCAGCAAGCAGCAGCAGCAAGCAGCAGCAGCAGCAGGAGGAACAAGAGCAGCAGCAGACGCAGCAGCAACAACAACACATAAAAGTAAACACATTAGATATAAGGATAGGATTTATAAGGAAGAAATAATATAACTGTTGTTGTTGTTGCTGCTGCTGCTGCTGCTGTTGCTGCTGTTGCTGCTGCTGTTTCTTGTGTTTAGTGTTTGCCTTATGTGCTGCTGCTGCTGCAACAATAAAGAAAGAAAAAGAGTAAATAAATAAATAAATATAATTAAATAAATAAATAAATAAATAAAGGAAAGAAAAGAACAAAAATAAACAAAGAAAGAAAAGTGTGGGGGGAAAGAAACTTACAGCGGATAACGCGCCCCATCTTCTTGCTGCTGTTGTTGCTGCTGCTGCTGCTGTTATTCCTGCTGCTGCTGCTGCAGTTATTTATAATAAATCAGCTGTCTATGCAGCAAACAAACAATCCGCTACTGCTTCCTTCCTGCAGCAGCAAATCCTCATCATATACAGAAGCCGGCTGCTGCTGCTGCTGCTGCTGCGGGACTGCTGCACCCCGCTCTAGTGGGGCTGGGGCAGCAGCAGGAACAGCAGCCGCTGCTGCTGCTGCTGCTGCTGCTGCTGCAGCAGCAAAGCA